ATGGAGGTGCTAATTTAGCCTCTGCCTGAGGCTACGCAGCAGGAGCTATGGAGAGATCTGCAGATTTCTCTTCTTTGTTTGGGATGTGGAGGTGCCCAGATGAGGCCCAGCTGTGAAGCAATGCAAGCTGCTGTGGGACCTTCCCACAGCATCCTTCTTTTGGATGTTCCGGGTCTCTCTGACCCAGCTGAAGTTTGTTAGGTAATTTTAGATTGCAAAGGGCCAGGCCATTCATATGAAAAAGCCTCTTCGAACAGCTTGGGCAGGGCGGGGTCTCAGGGAATCAACAGGGCGGAGCATACAGCTATGGCTGCTCCTCAGTCCTGCCCTAATAGGCCCCGGGTCTCAGTGTCCCGTGGTAACTGCTGCAAGCACCTCTGAGAGAAAGCCGCCCTCAAGTTTCGCCCGCTGCCAGACAGTCCAGTTTCTCCCCATATGAATCTGGGTCCCCAGAGACTCGCCTGGAACTGGAGTTCAGAGTGGGAGCGTGTGTCTCCCTCCCGATTGAAAAAGACACCCGCATCCTCAGTTGCCAGCCCTTGCCGTATGCACCTCCGTACCTCTGCGCTTTACTTCCGCACCTCCTCTGAGTCTCAGTGTGCTTTTCTCTTTCCTTCTAGTTGTAGAATTTCCACTCAGCCAGCCTTCCTGTGGTTCTGGATGATGTCTGTTTTGTCTTTTAGTTGTATTTTTGAAGTGGATGTGTGAGGCAGCAATTTCAGGTGTTTACCTATGCCGCCATCTTGGTTTCTTCTCACAGGGGTTAATGCTAGCAATCTAGCTTTCACCAGACTCTTGGCATCAGATGGGATTTTTTTAAAAGAAAGGACTCACTTTTTAAAAATAGCTCCTCATTTTATAAGGCAGATAAATATATTGTGCTTAACAAAAGAGCTGTACATCTGAAAACTTACTGGAAACTAAAAAGGGATTACGAGCCGAAACTGGTTTGGCTCGGTGGATAGAGCGTCAGCCTGCGGACTAAAGGGTCCCAGGTTCGATTCCGGTCAAGGGCATGTACCTGGCTTGCGGGCACATCCCCAGTGGGAGATGTGCAGGAGGCAGCTGATCGATGTTTCTCTCTCATCGATGTTTCTAGCTATCTCTCTCCCTTCCTCTCTGTAAAAAATCAATAAAATATATTTAAAAAAAAAAAAGGGATTACGAAAGAGACCATACTTTACCCTTGTCTTATATTTTAATTTAGAAAATGCATTACAACTTTCTCTTTATTTGAAGTACTAGTGCACTCTGCCTCTTCCTCTCAAAATATTTGAGGTAGAATGCAACAAAGGCATATTAATAAGGTTAACAAGATAGGGATGAGTCATACGTTATGAAGGAAAGGAGTGTATTAGAGAAAGAAATATGACTATATTTTCTTCCAGTGGGTCCTAAGAAGCTGGAAAGCATTAATAAACTTAATTTCTTGGCAAAAATTGGAGGAAAAACTCCCACATGCAGATGTATTAGATTTGGGGTATGAACCTGGGATGGGGGAGAAGAGAAGAAACCTACATCATATTAAATCCTGCATTGCAAGTGTAACATATAGGGAATTGACTTGAAGAGTTTTTTTGTTTAATATATTTTTTTGATTTTTTTACAGAGAAGAAGGGAGAGGGATAGAGAGTTAGAAACATTAATGAGAGAGAAACATTGATCAGCTGCCTCCTGCACACCCCCCACTGGGGATGTACCCGCAACCAAGATACATGCCTTTAACTGGAATTGAACCTGCGACCCTTCAGTTCACAGGCCGACGCTCTATCCACTGAGCCAAACTGGTTAGGGCTTGAAGAGGTTTTTTTTTTTTTTTTTTATAACTTCATACCTGGCAGAGATTCAAGTTGTCAAATACAATAGAGAAAGAAGAGAAACAAGTTTTCTTGGGGGCCTCACTATGCTATTCCAGTAGTACCTTTCATATAAATGCCTCTGTGGCTTATGCATTGGTGGGGAGCATGACCTTGACATGAGCTCCAACTCCAGGATCCATGTCGAAGTAAGTTAATACACAGAATATAAACCAAAACAGACTCACCGGAGGATATGCTTAGAGAGAGAAAGGGAGAGAAACACTGACCACTCCCTCACTGGACATCAAAACCACAACCCGGTATGTTCCCTGACCAGGAATTGAACCAGTAACCTTTCAGTGCACTTTGAGCAAGCTAAGTTGATCTTTAGTTTCCTTCTCTGTAAAGAGGAGCTCAGAATACTGCACAGAGGATAACCTGGAACATAGAAAGTAGTTAGCAGAACTAGTAGGGGGGCAGAGATAGGAGGTCAGCATGACAGAATACAAAAGTATGTAAACAATGCCACAGACAGGACAGTTTATTCAAGTGATAAAATCCTATGATAAAATAAAACAACAAAATGAGTAACATGGTATACGTGTGGGGTTGAAAGGGCAAGTTGAGATTTGTGGTCAGAGAAGACTTCTCTAAGGTGGTGACATTTGAATTGCTAAGTCATTACTCTTATTCACCTCCTTTCTCCACCCCCAACCCCTCCACCCCCAGCTTCCAATTTGTCAACCAAGAGATTGCAGCATGTTACTTGGTGAAAGGTTGGGAGGAAGAATGTGGATGATAGTAATTTGGAAAGAGGACTTGTTAATGGAGGGGTAGGAATGTGTCCACGGCTGCTGACTTAACCAAATCTCGCAAACCTTCCTCTCAATCCTGGGAGTGTGGCCACAGAGTAGAATCTATCCCCGAGTAGGAGCAGTTTCAGTGGAGGTTTTTTAAAAAACTGTAAACATGAATACCAGGAGAAGTTTTCTGAGCTTATGCTAGATCAGGGGCCAACTGCCTGAGGAAAAACAGAATGAATTAGACCAGCGGTCGCCAACCGGCGGTCCGCGGACCACTGGTGGTCCATGAGGTCCGAAAGGTTGGAGACCACTGGTTTAAGGAAACCTTTGGAGCAGCAGTCGCCAACAGGTGGTCCGTGGACCACTGGTGGTCCATGAGGTCCGAAAGGTTGGCGACCGCTGAATTAGACAACAACAGCCTTTATGAATAGACACTCAGAGTGGGTAGTGTGTGCGCGCGCGTGTGTGTATGTTTGCCATCACATGAAGGTGAGAGAGAAGGCTGCTAAGAGTGGGAAGAGATGAGAGGAGTCCAACTGGATATCATTTAATTGGAACAAAATTGAGAGCCCAGAAATAAAACCACATGTATATGGGCAAATAATTTTTGGCAGAGGAGCCAAAAATATAAAATGGAGAAAAGAAAGCCTCTTCAATAAATGGTGAGTGCTGTAGAAGCCAGAAATAAACCACAGTGCTAGTTGAATATCAAGGAAAAATGATAATCTAAAATGTTATATTTGTCGAGGATAGTAAGTGAAAGTACTTCCTATACTAGATGAGAATTCCCTGAACTGATGGAGATGAAGAGCAGGTATGGTTGTTTGAAGTTTGCATGGCCTTTCACTTCCTTCCTCTACTTGGGTTATAAATGCAGATAGCCGAAAAGGAAACTTTAATTGAGTTTCCCCCAATCTTTTACTTACCAGAAAGAAAGGAAAAAAAGCATTTGCCATTATGGATGCAGTTCTCAAAATCTCACTAGAGGGCAGTGTTGGTTTTAAAACCACAGGTTGCTAATCTACAGTACATTCATTACTGGGCTGCATTTGTATTTGCAATGAAAAGGTAAACTCAAGCCTTCTCAGTCTTACCTGAAAGTTGGTAAATATCAAGTCTGAAAACTCCCAAGGACCTCATCCAGGTCTGGCTGGTTGCAGCCCAGAGGAGACAGATAAAGCAGTGAAGCAATCACTGGAGGAGTTGAGTGGCAGATTGTAATTTCAGGTCCTGCACTAACTAGTAGACAAGAAACTAAGCCTCCTTAGGCCTTCATCTCATCTGCAAAAGAAAAGGGTTGCCCTATATGGTTCTTAAATCTCCTTGTATTTAGAAAATTCTGAGATTTTAACAAATTCTGGGTCTAAAAGGCTGAAGAATTTCTCATGCTCTTGGCCAAAGGAACAAGTAACATATCAAAGTATTAAATTATTAATAATTAAAATATAATTTAATGTTATAAGAATTTTAATATAGATTCCAATATTAAACAGCCTTCAAATCAAAATGTCAAATCTTCTGTTCTACCAGGGAAATCTCAGAGCCATCCTTGGCATCTGTGTGAGCATGTTGTGGTTAATTTCAGTGACTTCATGCATCATCCAAAGACATCTTTCCTCTTGGTTGCTAGCTTGCTGGAAATGAGCAAAATATGTTTACACAGGATGATCTAGAGAGAGGAGGTTGAACCATTATCAAAGAGGGATGTTTCATGATAAGAGACTAAGTCCCTCACCTCACCTTGTAGTTAGCCAACATTCACCATAATTGTGCTTTGGTAAAGGTCACTCTCCACAGGGATTTAATTAGCTCAGTTTCCTATTACCCTTACCTCTTTTATCTGATGCGCTTCCCTTGTCATATTTATTCGCATTGCAAAGTGAACTGAAAATCTCTCTATAAAATCTTAAGCAAATTATTCAACTCTAGGGCCCCAGTAAACCGTAGTTTATCTCTGCATGGACTTGACTTCTAAGGGTTGACTGAGAGCCAATGAACCGCTGATGGTGCGAACCCCAAACGTTTTGACATTATACGCACCGCTCCCTTCCCTCCAAATTGCTTTGCTTTGCAGAGGAAAGGTTTCCTACCTCGGCCCCCTCCCTTTTCTACCCCGCAGTTCTGTTGGCTTTTCGGGCTTAATTCGAATATCCAAACTTCCTGAAATCTACACGGCGCGCGGGCGGGTGCACACACACGCGCTCGCATCCTCGCTGGGGCACACGCGCCCCCCAGGCGGCTCCGTCTCGGAGCGCATTCCATTCTTCGCGCCCGGGCACGCCCCTCCGCTGCGGGGATTGGTCGGCCCGACCCGCTCGCCCAGGCGCGACTCCTGAGAGGCTCAGACGCCTGCCAATCCCGCGGCTGTCAAAACAAGGCTTCCCTCCCTGTCACAACAGAGCGGAGCGGAGCGGAGGCCGCCGCCGCCGCCGCCGCCGCGCTTCCCGAGGTAGCCGCGCCGCTGGCCGCTGGCAGGTGACGGGTGCGCGGGCTGCGGTCTCCCGGCTCCGGCCCCTCTCCGGCCGCGCGCGTCCCGGCCTCGGGGGCCGCCCAGCCGGACGCCGGTGCCTTTTGTCTGGCGCGGAGCGGGCATTCGCATCGCATTCCGGACACCTCCCTCTCCTTTCGCCTCTCCTCCCTCCGTTCACTCCGCTCCCCACCCGCGCCCCAGCGGACCGCCGGCCTCCTGGACTGAAGCGCGGACGTCTCTACCCGGCGATGCCTCCGCTCCAGAAAGTTGCAGCCGCGGCCGCCGGGCGGTGAGACAAAGTCTGGCAGGGCCGCCTCCCGGTGCAGGAGCGCAGCGTGCCCAGCGGCCGGATTCGCTGCGGGGCGAGCCGTCTCCCCGCGGAACCTGAGGCGCCCCGACATGGCCGAGGGCGCGGCTGACTGGGAGGGTCCCGCGCCGCCCGACGCGGCCGGCGGCGAAGACGACCCCCGGGCGGGCCCGGACGGCGCCCCCGGGGACGGCGGGGCGGTGGCACCCGCGGGCCGGTGGAGGGACCGGCGCAGCGGGGTGGTGCTGCCGGGCGCCGCCGGAGCCCCGGCGGACAGCGAGGCTGGCCTCCTGGAGGCGGCGCGGGCGACCCCCCGGCGCAGCAGCATCATCAAGGTGAGCGAGGCGGGTCCTGCCGCGGGAGCGGGAGGGGGCTGTGGGTGGGCGGTGGGTGGTCGCCGGATGCTCGGCATTGTTTTCTCCCGCCCCCTTCATTTGCAAACCTTCCTGCCTCGCCCGGAGGTCCGCAGCCTCCGCTCGGCCGGAGACGCAGAAGTGACTTTCCCCCCGGGCAGTGGAGGAAAAGTTCCCCTCTGCGTCTTTGCGTTTCGATGGATCTTTCCTCCTTTTCTCCGAAAGCGTCACTGAACCGTTGATGGCAGGCGAAGGGGAGGTTTCAGTAGAAATGCAGACCCGGGGGGTTGCGCGCTGCTCTCCAGCGAAAGTTCACACCCCCTCCTCCCCCTGCCCAAGAAAGGAAATGCAGTTTACCCTCCAGTGAAAAGAAAAACCCTCTAGCGTCAAACGGTCCCCACATCTCAGGAAGCGGGGATTTTCCTGGTGGCAGGCAGAGTTTTCAGTGGACCGTTCGGCAAAGCACAGAGCGATGCGGGGCCCCGAGTGTCTGCGCCGAGAGGGCGCGAGCGGAGAGCAGTCGCTCTCCCAGCATCACCCCGGGCCGGTGGTCACCACCACATCCAGGGAAAATGCTTCTCTTCAGCCATCTGGCAAGATTTTTATAAGCCTGTCCCTCCCCTTTTCTCTCTGTCTTCCTTCCACCTGGGGCTTGTTTCCTGTTTGAGATTTCATCTTTTGGATGCAGGACATCTGGGTAAGGTCTCCTAGAAGTCAGAACTCTCCCACGGGCTCTGGGAGAGGGCCTCTTAGCGTAAATGCATGGGAGCAGTCATGTGCATGTGAGAATAAAATCGATTTTGGCAGGGCAGTCAGAATGAAACTATCTATATAGTTTGGCACACACACACACATATATGTACATAACGTATATATGTGTGTGTACATATATATATGCCAAGGATGATAGTGTAAGACGGACTTGGAACTTACTCTTCAAGGTGCATGGTGTGATACATGTAGAAGCCTTGTTTAGGTCTGAGCTGCGTAACCGCCACATGATGCTGCCTCTTTCTAAAGCTCTGAACTGGAGCGCCCAGCACCAGTGTGGGCAGACTGCGCCCACAGTACGTGCACCCAGCGCCAAGTATGGTCTAGGCTTTCCCCCAACACGGACACACCGACGTTTAAAACCAACAGGGAGATTTCTATAATAAAAGAAGAGTGGGTGGTAGTTGCAAATAACTTGTAGTAGTTTTCTCTTATTTTGTGATTTTAGCTTGTGAAAACGGCGTGTTCTTTTCTGGGTGTGAATTTGGATTGAAAGGATATGATTACTTTTCCCCCTTTTAATCCACAGATCAGACAGTATATTGTTTTGAAGTTTAAAACATATAACAATTAGGAAACATACATTTTTCCTTGTTTTTTAAAAATATTTTTTCATTGAGGTAAAATTGACATACAACATTATATTAGTTTCAGGTGTACAGTGTGATTTGATATTTGTATACGAAATGATCATAAGTCTAGTTAACATTTGTCACCATATGTAGCTACAGAATTTTCTTTTTTTGTGATGAGGACTTTTAAGACTTATACTCTTAGCAATTTTCAAATATGCAATGTGATGTCATTAACTATATTCACCATGTTGTACATCAATCCCCATGACTTATTTATTTTATAACTGGGAGTTTGTACCTTTGGACTTCCTTCATCCATGATGCCCACCGCTCCACCCTACCAGTCTGTTCTCTGTATCTTTCTTCTTTTCCTTTTAGATTCGACATAAAAGTGAGATCATACAGTATTGGAGGAAACACAGTTTGGATTTTAAGATATTAATACTAAATGTGGTCCTGTGTATAAGAACAAGCACCACAAGATAGTTTAAAATATACCATCATAAAAAGCAGTGGGCTCTATAGTGTTGTAAAAAAAATAAAAGGAACGGAGTATAGGACATATACAAATCCTTGTACTTAAATTGCATTTTCTAAATTGTTCCATGTGCTGGTAATGGTGCCTTTTTGGTTTTGAAGTTTCTTTTGCAGACAAGAAAAGAGGGGACAACTTGATCTTTCCTCTATTTAATACTAAAATAAGCATCTAATAAATGGCCTTTAAGAATAAAGATGGTAGAAAATGAAGTGAATTACTATTATTTAAATTAGGTTTTATTGAAACAGTGATATATACATATGATAAAGAAAATTAAATGTTGCAAAAAAGTATGAAGGAAAAATTCTTAGCCACTCCACACTCACTTACATAGTCCACCCCCAAGGCTGTTAACACTTTCTTCTGTATTCTTCCAGAAATATTCCATGCATGTATAAGCACATGTATCTGTACATATCTGTGGTGAAACTTTGAAGCTTCCCTTTTATATAATAACAATTTTACAGACATTATATCTTCAGATTTGCTCTAAACATTTTTGATGCCTGGAAGGTTGTCTAAAGTCATTGAGATTGGTCAGTTCATTGTCAGGTATAGCCTGGTAGGTAGGTCATAGGTGGTGGCGCCGGGGTCTGTTCCCAGAGGCCCTCGTTCCCATCCAGGGGGAGAGAGCTCTGCTTCGCCCCTCACTGATATCCGGGACCTTTCTGTTGACATGAATCTGCCGCCCCCTGCTTTGTTTACTTTAACGGAGTAAAAATGGACGTTTCTTAAAAAGGTCTAGATTACATAGGAAATAAAGAGCACATGTTCTGTATAGACAGCAAATGCACTCTTCATAGTATTGCCAGGAGTGCTTTTTATTTGTCATTGAAACATTTACAAAGAGAATTTTGTTCATTTTATATTAATCATTCTATTAAATATTGTTCCAAATAGCCTCAGTGCAGTAATGATTAGTATTCATGATAATCCCTGAACCACTGAAAGATTGTGAATCATCAAATATTAAATTCTTTTCAGCTCAATTAAGGCATTGTTTCTATTCTAATTGATTGAATGCAGATTCTCTAGTAACTTGAATATTAGATGAATCAGAATAGTGCATTTCTCTATCATGTCAGAAAACAGACTGTCTTGTATATTAATAAGAGGAATGTTTTTAGCAAATTTGCCCTCTCTAATTTATGAAAACATGTGTTCAGTTGAGAAAACAATTTCCTTTATAGCTGATGAAGCAATAACATCATTTATCTTTACACATATTCTTTCTACCTAATTGTGTTCCTTCACTTATATGCCCAGTCCTAAATTTAAAAAAAAACTTAACATGAGAATTAAACAAGGTTCTCTTTAAATTGTCCATTTTCCCTGTGTTATTTTAAAAAAATCCTCACCTGAGGATATTTTTCCATTGATTTTTAGAGGATGTGAAATGGAGGGAGGAGGTGGGGAGAGAAAGGGAGAGACCCAAGCCAGGATGGAGACTGCAACGTGCCCTTGATCAGGAATCGAATCTGAGACCCTTGCCGATGCACTAACCAGTTAGCATACCCAGCTAGAGCTCCCTGGGTGATTATTTTTGACAGCATTGACACTGATAAATGTTGTATGTGTTTTGATAAGTGCATTGTTGTTACCACAATATTGCAGCAGACTTCATCTTCATTGCTTCGTGATGACTTGTGGTTTAAAATGACATTAGTGGTTGATTAACATTTTGTACAATTTTTATTAAAAAAAAATAAAAAAAGACATTAGTTACATGCAAATTGATAATATCTAACAACTATGTACTATTCTGCATTTGAATATATTTCTACTTAAGAAAGTAAGCCATTTGTCTCTTGGGTACTTCATATCATACTTACATGTTTAAAATATTTGACATTTTGGATTACAGCTTATCCTATATAATAAAGAGCTAATATGCAAATGGTCATCACGCCCTCATGCCGCACCAGAACTGCTCAGACACTTAACACGGGGGAGAGGAATAGGGACCAACCAGGCACAAATGAGCTGGGGAGAGAGGAATGGGGATCAGCCAGGCACAAATGAGCTCTCGAGAGAGGAAAGGGGACCACCCAGCTTGCGGCCTGGGAGAGGGACAAGCTGCCCACCCCGCGGTCCCAGGCGCCAGCGGCTGTGCCTGCGGCCTGGGAGAGGGACAAGCTGCCTGCCCGCGGTCCTGGATGCCAGCGCCTGTGGCTGTGGCCCAGGAGAGGGACAAGCTGTCCTCCCTGCGGTCCTGGGCGAAGCCGCCCACCCATGGTCCCCTGCGGCTGTGGTGGGCCAGAGGGAGGGAAGCCTGGATCTCAGGTGCCTGCAATCTGCTGGAGGAGGGAATCCTGGGTCCCGGGTGTGGGGTGAAGCAGAGGCTGTTAGGGGCTATCAGACTAGTAGGGGAGCAGTTAGGGGCAATCAGGCAGGCAGGCAGAGGTGGTTAGGGGCCATCAGGCAGGCAGGCAAGGAAGTTAAGTAAGAATGAAAACTGATGTAAACATTTTAGACACCCTATAGGTTAAATAGGCTTCTGTAGATTGGCCTGGGAATGAATCAGTATTTATAGGCTTTTTTTTTTTTTTTTTTTTTTTTTGCTGGTAGAAATATGTATTAAAAGTTCCAAATAACTTATGGGTGAATTTTGGGGACACAACCTGACTATACAATGGGGCAGGGTAGCCTTGGCTCTAAGGCAGCGGTTCTCAACCTGTGGGTCGCGACCCCTTTGGCGTCAAACGACCCTTTCACAGGGGCCGCCTAAGACCATCCTGCATATCACATATTTACATTACGATTCATAACAGTAGCAACATTACAGTTATGAAGTAGCAACGAAAATAATTTTATGGTTGGGTCACAACATGAGGAACTGTATTTAAAGGGCCAGAAGGTTGAGAACCGCTGCTCTAAGGGGTGCCATGAACATGCTCTGTGGCTTCAGTCAGGGTGCTCCTCCGAGGTGTGAGCCAGCTGCATAAATAGCATTGAACTTCTTGGGGTGGATCTGTCTTATAATCCCAGTAACTTCAGTCAGAGTGTTGACCTCCTCTGATGTTGCCATAGTCACATGGTCACATTTCACCTTAGAAATGGTCACTTCTTCCTGTGGTGCCTCGTTGATGTCATTTCTC